AGGTCCGTGTCATCTCATTCTTAAGAGTAACTGTACCCATGTACATTACGGTCTCTCATGAAATCGTCCAAAAGCTTCTTGAATGATTCCACACTATTTGCTGAAATAACTGCCTGTGGCAGAGAGTTCCAGACCCTAACCGCTCTAACTGAGAAGAACCCCCTTTGCCCCTTGTGTTGGATTTTTTTCCCCACCAATTTTAGGTGGTGGCCTCTAGTCTTTGTTATGGAGTTAATCGTAAAGAGTTTGTTGCTAGTGTTGCTATGACCATTGAACATCTTGTACATGAAAATCATATCCCCCTTAATCTCCTTACTTCTAGCGTGAACATATTTAAATTTAGTAGCCTTGTCTCATAGTTCTGGTCCTCCATACCCTTAATGAGTTGCCCTCTGTTGGACTCTTTCCAGCTCAAGGACATCCTTTCTGTGTACTGGTGTCCAAAACTGGACCACATACTCCAGGTGAGGCCGAACCAGTGATGTGACGGTGGCAAACTTAAAAACATTCCCTTCTTGATACAAGACAGGACTCTACTAGCTTTGCTTACATCAACCTAGCACTGTAAGCTATTATTCAGTCTATGGTCTACTATGACCCCCAAATCTTTCTCCATTTCTGACTTCCCTAGCAGCATATGCATTATTGTATAACCCATTTGCTTATTTTTAGTCCCAAAGTGCATAACTTTGCAATTATCGACATTAAACCTCATTTGCCATATAGTTGCCCACACCCCTATTTTGTTCAGGTCCCCCTGCCATGTTATACTATCTTGGTCCGTTTCTATTACCCTCCTGATTTTCGTATCGTCAGCAAACACTGAAATATTTCTGTTTACACCCTCCTTGATGTCGTGAATAAGCAGGTTGAATAGCATTGTACCCAGCACAGAACCCTGAGGCACACCGCTTATGACACTAGCCCTTCTGAAAGGGCATCATTTATTGATACTCTCTGTACCCGTTCCTTTAGCCAGTTCTCTATTCATGTAACACCCTTCCATCTATGCCCATAGACCTCAGCTTGTATAGTAAGCGTTTATGAGGTACCGTATAAAAGCCTTTGAGAAACCCAGATATATACCACATCCACAGACCTCCCTCCATCCAGATCTCTACTTACCCCCTCGTAAAAAGTTAGCAGGTTAGTCTGACAGGAACGGGCAAAGAAGGGCATTTCATCGCCCATCTTCTTCTTCGCCTTTCTTTGCTCTTCTTCTTCGCCCTTCTTCTTCCATCTTCTTCTCCGCCCCTTCTTCCTCGCCCTTCTCCTTTGCCCTTCTTCCTCGCCCTTCTTCTCCCTCGCCCTTCTTTCTTCTTCTTTGCCCTTCTTGTCTTTTCACTGTTCTGTTCCTTTCTCTTCCTTCCCCCTTCCTTTTGGTCTACTACAATTTATCTTCTTCATGATCCACCTTTTTTTTTAAATTGCTATTTCTTTCAAAAAAACGGGCAGGTTGAATACATTTCATATTTTGATGATCTTTTTCCTTGAATTGATTTTGAGAACAAAGATGATCTGGATATTGTCTGTCACTACTGTTGGTTGATAAACTCTCTATATTTATTATGACATTGTGATATGTCACTTTTACAAATTTATGTA